GCTTGCGTAAAACTACGTGCCATTCGCATTTACGGCCGACGCAGATTAGGGAATGAACGTTGGGGCCGTGGATGCCATCAATACGGGGCGACGTGCGTCACGATCCGCCGATCTCCGCTTGAGACACTCGCGTCCCGCTGCTGCAATTCGCGGAGCGACTTCAGTGGGTCGGTCTGTGCGGTCGGGCGGTCCACATCAAAGACGATCAAGCACTCTCGTCTGTCGGCCTGAAACTCCAGCCAGATCGTCCGCCCCGGCAAGAGGTGAGCGACAGCAACGGTCGGCTAAAGAGCGCGGCGGTGTCCGGAGGCCCTTCCATGCTGAACCGTATAATGAAGTTGACGAATAGCCAGCGGTGTCGATCGGAAATTCGCTCGAGAGATTTCGATCTCTATCAGGACTCGGACGTCCATGAGCAATGTCGCCGTGTCGCAGTCTATTGAATGATCGCCGCGACTGATGGGCTCAAAGCTACTTTACTGCGATAGGGAGCGGAATAGCCCGAAACTGGTCCAGTTACCTAATCCCGTCCGCCCCGCGAACCGAGTAGAGCAATCAGCGAGGGCGGGCGCCACGACCTGTGGGGCAGGCTCGGTTTGTTNNGCGTCTTTTTGGAACGCCCCCGAGACATGAGATCGGCAATCGATAACTGCAGCGCTCGACGGGCCCCTTCTCTTTCCCGAGTTTGTGCAGCACGCGTCAGTTGCGTGATCGGCAAGTTCCGAGCAGAGCCGGCGCCACCGAGCCAGCAATAAACGAAAACGAGTTGGTCGGCAGACTCTCTCAGCGAAGCGGATGCAACTATCGTAAGCTGGCAACACGAAGAGTGCATCAGCAGCGGATGCGGGCCGTCGCATACGCCGCGGTTTAGCCCACACGTGCATCGCCATCTAAGCCTAGCTTGTCACCGAGCTGACCTTCATCAAGCTATCCTCGTGGTATGCGACTGGCAGTGAGATGGTGAAGGTCGTTCCCTCTCCCGGGTTGGAGTCGACCTTGATCTCACCGCCGCACTTCTCGACAACGGCGTTATAGGCAATGGCCAGACCCTGGCCGCTTCCCTTGCCGACACCCTTGGTCGTGAAGAACGGGTCGAACGCCCGCGCGGCGACTTCCGGGCTCATGCCGCACCCCGTGTCCACGACCCGCACCACCACCCGGTCTTCAAACTGGCGGGTGGAGATCGTGATGTGACCGGGGACTATCCCCCCGTCGCTGGCTTCCTCGATCGCGTCGGCCGCATTGACGATCAAATTGACGAGTGCTTGGCTCATCGACGACGCCGACCCCTGCACTAACCCACACTCGGCAAGGTCGAGTTCGACGACCGCGTGCTGCTTGGTCGCGTTCTTAGTGAGTGTGGCGGCGTTCTGGATACTGCGATTGATGTCAAACGGCATGCTGTCGTCGCTGCCCGGATGGGCGAACTCCTTCATCGCGCCGATGATCTCGGAGACGCGCTCGACACCCAGGCGGCAGTCGGCGAGTGCTTCTTCACTGCTCCGGAGGATATCTTCGCTAGGGAGAGTCTCGCGGAGCCGTTCAAGTCCTCCGCTGCCCTCGCCGTTGAGTAAGACGCTGACGGCGGTCTGCAACCCCGTCCACTGTTCTACGATCCGGCTAAGATAGCTGACGTTGCAGCCAATGAACTGCATCGGTGTGTTAATTTCGTGAGCAACGCCAGACGCCAATCGACCGATGGATTCGAGTTTTTCGGCTTGCGCTAGCCGCCGCTCGATCTGCTTTTGATTGGTGATGTCGGTGAAGGCGCCAACCAACCCAACAATGGCTCCGTGCTCATCGAATAGAGGGGTCTTACTCGTCCAGATTGTCTTCTGTGTCCCGCAACTAAGTGATTGCGTCTGCTCGACATTGACCATAACCTGTTCGCCCGCAATCACTTCGCG